TGGCCCCAGTGGCAGCAGCATCTGCGGAGGTGCTGGGGCTGCACTGTGAGCCCTGGGTTGCCATCCCAGTGGGCTGCGAGGAGAAGCATGGCTGGCCTTGGAGCTCCTGGGCACCAGGTGGGTGCTGGGTACGGGGCGGGCGGTCAACAGCTTCTCTCCCCCCAGCATTTTGTACTGGATTGGAAAGCCGTATACTGGATTGGAGAGCCATATCAAAATCATCATGATAAATCTGACGGGGTATATGACAATCTGTCTAAACAGTAAGTTGTTCCATCTTGGCCAGCTTCATCTCTCCTGCCTTCACCAGTCATGAGCAGAGGTGCTGGGCACTGCCTGAGTGTCTGTCCCGATCATGGGACTCATGCTTGGGCAGGGACAGTGCTCTGGCATCCCTGTCCAGGCTAAGGGGCCCTGGGGCTGCAGCTGTGTGGGGGTACTGCAGGGCTGGCAGCGGGCTGAGAGCATGGTGGTGGCAAATCTCATGTGCTCCTTCCCTTCCAGGAGACTTGTTCGCTACTGTGCAAGAACATTCTATGACAATATAAGCACCTCCTACTGCTTTGCCCATTTTCCATGGATCTGCGAGAAGCCCCCAGATCTAAGCAGCCCATCTGAGACCCTCTTTCCTCTCCCGGCCAAGGGGTGAACTCTAAGACCCCTCTCTCCATGGCAGGACTGAGGGACAGGAGGTGGGGGTGCACAGCAAAAACACCCTTTCCCTCCTGCACAGCCACATCCCTGCACACTGTTGTCTCAACCACATTGCAAAGCTCTGGGGATACAGGTTGGGAAAGAAGGTGCCTGCATTTTAAAACATGACTTATGGCTATGTTTCTGTGTCCCACACTCATGCCCATGCTTACATCTCCAGCCCCTGCCCTCCAGCCCTGTCTCCCATGGCCCAGGGAGAGGATGCCGGTAGCGAGCGCTGCTCACCTCTGCTGCCTTCCGCCGAGGCTGGTTTGCGAGGTGCCTCTTGCACTTTGTGAAGCTGGGTATGATGCTGCTGTTGGTGTCCCCAGGCTGTCCCCCGCGGGGAGTCCTTTGGTTTTACTGGCTGGCTTTGCCTCTCACCTCTGTCTCTGGCTGCCGCTGGCTTCTGTCCTGCCCTTTCTCCTCCCTCCATCACCGGCCCTTTGCTGCAGCATGTCCCAGGGCTGAGCTTTGCTCTCCCTGTCAGAGAACCTTGATCCTGGGAAGAAGATGGAGCATGTCCTCCTGGTCTTGTGGTGATCCAAGCCCAGGGAGGACATGGTGGTGGATGGGGGAAGCCAGGCAGGATTTACCACGGGCAAGTGATGCCTGCCCAACCTGCCTGCCTTCCTGCTGCTGTGGGACCACTGGGCTGGGGATGAGGGGAGAGCAAAGGGGGCCATTTATCATGACCCTTCGAGGTCTGGGACATGATTTTCCATGGTCTCCTTGCTGGCAGAGTGAGAAGATGTGGCCAGGAGAAGGGGAGAAGAAGGTGAGTGGAAACCTGGATAGCAAGAGGGCTGCAGGGGGTGTCAGCAGTGCCCCATCCAGCTGGTGACATCCCAGTGGGGTTGATCTTGGGGCCAGTGCTCCTTGAAGTTTTCACTGGTGCCCTGGATGATGGGATTGGGATGGCCTCAGCCATCTGGGGGGCAGTACCAAACTGTGCAGTAGTGGGTATACTGGAGGGCAGGATTGGTGTTCAGAGGGGCCTGGAGAAATGGGCTGATGGGAACCTGCTGGTATTGGGTTGGGTGCAACCCAACCTGCAGCTGGGAAGGAAGGAGAAACCCCACGTGTCAAGACGGGCAAGCAAGCAGCCATGCTGAACAGGCCTGGGGCACCCGCAAACCAGAGGCTGGACAGGACTCAGCAGTGTGTCCTTGTGGTGGCAAAGCCCAATGACACTGTGGACCGTGGTGGCTGGAGCTCAGGGCTCCAGGGGCAGGGAGCCTGCTCCTCTGTGGGCACCAGGGAGACCATGTCTGGCTATAAAGCATGGTTCTGCCCAACAACTGAGATTGCAGGAAACCTCCTGCAATCCTGTCCCAGCCTCCCAGCCTCACCATGCCATCGGCTGGCTCCACCAGCCTCCTTCCACACCTCCTTTCCCAGGACCTGCCCACATCCATCTTAGCAAAGTGGTCCCCACCTTTTTCTGCAGAAACACTGAGTGAGACAGAGAGGGTCAGCGCTGTCCCTGGACTCCCCAGTCCACCCCAGCCGCATCGAGAATAGGGCTCCCTCATCGCCCCCCTGGCATCTCAGGTCCCACCATGGTCTTAGGGACCTTTTCCCCATGGTGGCAGGGGTGTCCCCTTTCCCCTGTGTTCCCAAGCCTCGCCAGTGCTCCCCCTTCTCTCCCACTGTCTTAAGGCTCCTCACTGCACCCCCATCTCTTCCCATAGCCTCAGGGCATTTGCCTTCCATGATCTTGAGGATCTTCACTGCACCTCCATTTCCCCCATGGCCTCAGGGCTCCCTTATTCACCTGCCATGGTCTCAGAGCTCTTCATTGCACCCCTTTTCCCCCCATGGTCTTAGGGTTCCCTCATTCACCCCTCAGGGTCTCAGGGATCCCCAGCACTCCCCCATCTCCCACATGGTCTCAGGCCTTCCCAGCAGTTTCTCATGCTGATGGCACTGCTGCCTGCACCCTCCCCAGGCAAGGCTCAGCCCAAAGCGCTGGGCAGGTGACGGAGGCAGGAGAAAGGGCAGGATGGAAGCTGTCGATATTGAAAGAAGGGACAGGCAGTAAATCCACAGGACTCCCCGAAGAGGACAGGTCAGGGACACCAATGGCGCTGTCATCCCCCAGCTCCAAAAAGATGCAAATGACACATCCTGCAGCAGCATGCCGCCGGCAGCCTTGGGAGGGCACAGCAGCTGGGAGCTGGGCTCTGCACCGGACTCCTGGGTCACTGCAAGCTGCGCTGGCCAGAGCGTACAGGGACACGCAGAGGGCTGGTGCAAGGTGGTCTAAGTGGCCTAAGGCTCTACAGAGGCATCTGGACAGGTGGGGGTCGGTGTCTTCTCCCAAGTAACAAGCGATAGGACAAGAGATGGCCTCAAGTTGCGCCAAGTTGTGCTAGGGAAGGTTTAGGTGGAATATTAGGAAAAATTTCTTCACCAAAAGGGTAGTCAGGCACTGGAACAGGCTGCCCAGGGAAGTGATTGAGGTCCCATCCCTGGAGGTATTTAAAAGACAGGTAGATGTGGTGCTTAGGGACATGTTAGTGGTGGACTTGGCAGTGTTAGGCTAACAGTTGGACTTGATGATCTTAAAGGTCTTTTCCAACATAAAAGATTCTATGATTCTATGATTCTAAGTGTATGCATGAGTGTGAGAGAGGGGAATAAAGTCTGTTTTCCATGAGCCTTGCTTTAAAATACAGACACCCTTTCCCAGCACTTTGTAATGTGGTTGAGGCAAGGCGTGAACGGGGGAGAGGGTCTCCGGGTGCACCCCCAGCTCCTGTCCCCGAGCCCTGCAATGGAATGAGGTGGCAGCACAGTCAGGGCTTGACCATGAGAGGAAGGACGGTCTTGGATGTGCTGCTCAGCTTCGGGGGCTGCTCGCAGATCCACTGGTTCTTGCTCCTGCATTTTGCACTCTCTATTTTCCCGCCAACTGATTGCCCGCAATCTGCGGGATAGTCATACCTAAAAGAGAGGGCATGTCTCAGAGGTGCAGTGACAGCATCCTCGCCGTGGACACCTCTTCCCACAGGTCCCAGTGCCACTGGGGTAGGCAGGGGGCCTGGCACTGGGACCAGTCTGAGGAAGGGCCACGTTCTTCCCACCAGCCTCCTGCTCTGCCACTTGGAGATCTGGCAGTGCACCCCGCATATGGGCTCTGCCCAGGGCCCCCTCCCTTGGGGCACTGCTTGTTAAAGCATCGCCCCCTTTGCCGGGGGGGGTCTCATAGGGGTGAAAAGGCACCTTCCCGGCATGGTTAAAGCGCAGGTGCTTGTGCCAAGGACCACTGCACTTACAAGGGTAACTCCTTGCTGTCTTGCCATACCACAGTCCTCTTCGCATCAGAAGAAAATTTTGCTCCAATCCAGTACGTGGCATAATACATCTGCATAAAAAGCTGGGGGGAGAGAAGCTGTCGCCTGCCTGCCCAGTGCCCAGCACCCACCTGGTGCCCAGGAGCCCCAAGGCCAGCCATGCTCCTCCTCGCAGCCCACTGGGATGGCAACCCAGGGCTCACAGTGCAGCCCCAGCACCTCCGCAGATGCTGCTGCCACTGGAGCCACGGGGCTCTGCCCAGCCCCACCATCGCCCGCACCCGCCTGCAGTGCCGCAGCCCCCGCGTCTCTGTACCGGCACCGTCCATGATGGCCAGTCGCCTTGGACCAGCAGCTGAGCGGATTTACTTCTGCAGTCATCACGGCTGTCCCACCATGTCTTCCTCTCCAGCGAGACGAAGAGGCACTTGCCCCTGTAGAGCACCCAGCCCGAGGGGCAGCAATCTGGGGGCAGGGGCACGGCTCAGGCGCTCACCCTTCCACGGATGCTCGGGGGGACCAGCCTGGCCACGGTCAGCCCCCACATCTCCCCAGCAGCATCAGTGCCCGTCCCCTGACCCCGCCACGGCCCTACCTGTATTCACGCAAGCGCGCAGGCTGCTCACAGTGCTCTCGCTGGTCCTGAGCTCCCCCCGCACCTGCTGCATCTCATTCTGCAGCCCAGCCAGCTCCTGCCTGGCGCGCTCCAGCTCGGCGTCCTGGATCCCCAGCTTCACGCGGCTGCTGTTGCCCTCCTGCCACGCTCGCTGCAGCTCCGCTCGGGCCCATGCCAGCTCCCGCCGCATCTGCTCCAGGCTCTGCTCCCGCACGCTCACCTCCTGCGAGAGGCGGCCCTGCTCGGCCGCGTGCTCCTGGGAAGCGTCCTGCAGGCTGCGGGTGACCTGCCAGTCTGGGGACAGGGCGGGTGGGCTGGGGCATGGGGATGGGACAGCCTGGGCAGGGGGACACGGGACTGCCCCTGCTCAGGGCATGGTGCTTGCTGGGGGAGTGGGCTAAGAGGATCCGACTGTGGGCAGAGACTGTCCTGGGGATGGCAGTGGGAAGAGACAGGAAGCCTCAATGGTGGCAAGGGGAGGGGAGGCAATGGGAGGCAGTGGGAGGTAATGGGGAGGGGATGGGAGGCGATGGTGGAGCAATGGGGAGCAATGGGGAGCAATGGGAAGGCAATGGAAAGGCAGTGGGAGGTAATGGGGAGGGATGGGAGGCAATGGGAAGGCAGTGGGAAGCAGTGGGAGGCAATGGGAAGGCAGTGGGAAGCAGTGGGAATGCAGTGGGAAGGGAGTGCAGGCAGATGGAGAGCTGCTCAGGGTGGCCAAGCAAGAAGCAGCTCTGCCCCCGGGCCACCACCCCCAGCACTCCCTGGCCCCAACCACCCCCCAGCAGCGCAGCCTTCGCCCAGCCCCAAACCTACGGTGGGAAGGCAGTGGAAAGGCAGTGAGAGGCAATGGGAAGCAGTGGGAGGCAGTGGGAAAGCAGTGGGAAGGCAGTGCGAGGCAGTGGGAGGTAGTGGGAAGCAGTGGGAGGCAATGGGAAGGCAGTGGGAGGCAATGGGAAGGCAGTGGGAGGCAGTGGGAGGCAGTGGAAGGCAGTGGGAGGTAGTGGGAGGCAATAGGAAGGCAGTGGGAAAGCAATAGGAAGGCAGTGGGAGGCATTGGGAATGCAGTGGGAGGCAATAGGAGTCAATGGAAATGGAGTGGGAAGGCACTTGGAAGCAATGGGAGGCAGTGAGAGGGAATGGGAGGCAGTGCGAGGCAATGGGAAGGCAGTGGGAGGCAATGGGAAAGCAGTGGGAAGGCAGTGGGAAGTAATGGGAAGGCAATAGGAAGGCAGTGGGAGGCAATGGGAAGGCAGTGGGAAGCAGTGGGAGGCAGTGGGAGGTAAGGGGGAGGGGATGGGAGGCAATGGGAAGGCAGTGGGAAGGCAGTGGGAGGCAATGGGAAGGCAGTGGGAAGCAGTGGGAGGCAATGGGAAGGCAGTGGGAAGCAGTGGGAGGCAATGGGAAGGCAGTGGGAAGCAGTGGGAGGCAGAGAGCCCATGTGTACTGGCCACAGCGGGGCCATGCTACCCCATGCATCACCTTCCCCACCCCTGCCCCTGCTTGGGAGACTGGATGCAGTGACTGTGGGGGCTTGGTCCTCCACATGTGGCAGGAGGGACTCCCAGGGATGCCCACGCCAGAGACACGTCCTGCTGACACAACCCAGGTGGTCTATATCAAAACCATAACAAACCCCAGGACCAAACCCCTCCAAGCCAAGTCGCAGCAGGCTTTTTAGGCTCTCGTACATCACTCAGCCTAAAAGCAAATGAGGGCATTTGCTGTGACCTCCTCAGACTGGGCAGGCACCATGAGAGAAGCTGCTGCCCAGCCCAAGCCCTCTGTGGGACCGGGGAGGCAAAGGGTCACCTCTCAGCTGCCTTTCCCAAGAAGTATAAACCCCGGGCAGCCACCATGATCGGAAAGCCCAGAGTTTTGGGGGACTCCACGCTGCCACCAGCCCATGAGGACAGTCAGGGCGATGCTGGCTCCCCGATGCTGGCTCCCAGCCACTTCCTTCAGTGCCATGGTAGCTGCAGTTTCCCACCAGGCAGCAATGCAACCAAGTCGGTGAGCTGGAGGATGCATCTCCATCCCACCACCCTCGTCCCCCAAGGGCTGCCCCAATGGCCCTGACGGCTCCTGCTCTGCTGTTGTCACCCCCTCTCTTGGGGCTGCAAAGGAGAAGTGCCTCTAGTTTCTGCAGAAGCAGAAGTTTGCTGTGAGGTGCGGCAGAGGGGAGCAGGAAAGCACAGCCCTGGGGGACTGGAGCCCTGCCATTGGCCCTGGTGCTGCCGTCCTGTCCCCTTCCACGCCCCGAAACTGCTCTGGGTCCCCTGGGATGGTGGTGGGGCAGTGCAGCTCGGGGTTGGGGCGCTGGGCAGAGCTGCAGGGCTCAGCCTACCGAGAATCAATCCAAATCCCTGGGGGAGGGGAGAGTGGCGCCGGCTTCCATGTGGGAACAGGAGGCTCTGGGGCTTGCCCCGTCCAGGATGGAGGTTCCCCCTCTCTGTGTTCTGCTCCAGGGTTTGAGCATCACTGCTGTGCAGAAATGTTTGCCCTAATGCCTAAAAGGGGTTTCCACATTGCAGCGTGACTTCTTGCCCTTCTCCCCTTCTGCTGGCCACATCTCCCTACTCTGCCAGCCAGGAGACCACAGGGGACCATGCCCCAGACCTCAAAGGGTCACAATAAATGGCCCCCATTGCTTTCCCCTCATCCCCAGTGCTCCCACGGCAGCAGGCAGGCAAGTTGGGCAGGCGCCACTTGCCCATGGTAAATCCCACTAAGCTCCCCCCATCCACCAGCATGTCCTCCCTGGGCCTGGACCACTGTGTGCCCAGGAGGATGTGCTCTATCTTCTTCCCGGGGATTGGGTGGAAGCTGCTCAACCTTTAGCTTTCCAAACCTCCTTCCTATCCCCTTTGAAGTTGGCCATGATTTTTGCCTTTCTCCAGTGATGAAGGACTTCCCCTGCTCTTGCAGAGATGATGAAGAGTGGCCTTGCAATGCTGTGCTCCACCAGCTCCACTGCACACCTCCAGTCCTGTCCCAGGAACTGACTGTGTCCAGATGTGCCCAGCTGGTCCCCAACACAGCACCTCTTCTGAAACCTGCCTTTCTCTGGATGCAGTTCAGCAGAGACCTCTGAGATGCTGTGGGTTGGAGGTCAGGACTGAGGAGGGAATGCTGCGAGTGCTGGGGCTGTGGTCTGGGGAAGGGAAGGCAAAGCGGGTGTCATTGCTCTGTGCAGCTCTCTTGGGGAAGGGCGGTTGGAGCGATGCCAAAGCTGGGGTCTTCTAGGAGGGGACCAGGGAAAGGATGAGAAGCAGCAGCACAAGCTACATCATTGGGAAATTCCCATTCCTGGAGGCTGGGGTGGGAAATCTGCATCCATGAAGATGTGCAGCCCTCCATTTGGCTGTCCCCAGGGCAATGTCCTCCTGTGTCCAGGCTGGTCCTGCTCTCCCTGTGCCCAGGGATTTGGGTCCATCCTTGCTCTGCCACTGCCCCGCTGCCCCGGCCCTGCCGCGTGCCTGTGGGGACCATGAGCACTTTCGGGGCGTGGGAGGGGACGGGCTGGTGGTGCTGGGACCAATGAGAGGGTGCTGGTCGCCACAGCTGTGCCTCACTGGTCCCATCTGCTACAGCTCAGAGCAAACTTCTGCTTCTGCAGACGCTGACTGCACTTGTCCTTTGCACCCCCGAGAGACGGCGCAATCAGGAGCAGGACCATCCCAGAGAGGCATTTCAAGGGCAGTGTGGGAGCCAGCAGGGCTCAGGGCTTGCCCAGTGCTTGCCCACATGGCCCAGAGCGTGGTTTACGCTGATCTGAGGTTTGCCAAGGTGATGGGGGGCCGGAGCATGGCCAATCAGGCGCTGGAGGCAGGTGAGAGCCCACAGGACCCACCACGCTGCCCCAACTATGCCCAGCCCCACAGACTCAGCCGCTCTCCCCTGCCTTCCTCCAATAGCCCTTGGCATGGACGAAGCGGAGAGCCCCTACGAGATCACACAGTCAGCGCCGGCAGAGCAGGATGGGGATGGAGCCCAGCCCAGCCCAGGTGAGTGCCCAGCTGGAGCCCAGGGGACCCAGGGAAGTCCTGGCGTGGGTAGCGGGTGGTGTCTTGGTGTGCTCCCGCTCTCATCCTTGAAGAGAGCAGGCGCCCACACCGTGCCACCTGTGCCATCATGCTACCACTCTGCTGCCTGCAGGCAGGAGGTCTGGGGGCTGCCAGGGGTTTCCCGGCTCACCAGGTGATGCCTGTGGTCGGTTGTGCCTTGCAGGGCGCTGGTCTCGGTGGTGGTGCATCCCTGTGGGACTGCTGGTAACCTGTCTGCTGCTGCTGGTGGCCACCGTGGCCTTGGGGGCTTGCTGTGAGTCGGGGGGGGGGGGCACTTTTGGGGCCGGGGGTGGGTGGGGCAGACGGGGGGGGGGGGGG